AAAATTTCTTGGAAAATTTGAATTAAAAGATAATACAAATCTTTCCATGAACTCTCTGAAGACCTCTCATATTTCTTTCTCTTGCATAATTACTCTGGCTAGAACTTCCAGTACTATGTTGAATAGAAGCAGCAAGAGTGGACGTCCTTGTCTTGTTGCTGATTTTAAAGGAAAAGCTTTTAACTTTGCACCATTCAGCATGATGTTAGCTGTGAGCTTATCATATGTGGCCTACATTTTGTTGAGATACATTCCTTTTACACCTAATTTGTTGAAAGTTTTTATTATGAAAAGATGTTAAATTTTGTCAAATGCTTTTTATGCATCTATTGAGATGATCATATGGTTTTTGTCATTTGTTCTATTAATGTGTTTTATCACATTTATAGATTTGTGTATGTCAAACCATCCTTGCATCCCTGGGATAAATCTCACTTGATCATGGTGAAGGATTCTTTTAATGGGCTGCTGAATTTGTTTTCCTAGTATTTTCTTTAAAAAAAATTTTTGCATCTGTGGTTCATCAGGGACATCAGCCTGTAATTTTCTTTTCTTGTAGTGTCTTTGGCTTTGGTATCAGGGGCAACATAAAATGAGTTTAGAAGTATTTCTTCTTCAATTTTTTTGTAAGAGTGAGAAATATTGATATGAGTTCTTCATGTGTTTGTTAAAATCCAGCATGAAGCCATCAGACCCTGATCTTGTTTTCAAAGGGAAACTTTATTACTGATTCAATCTCCTTATTCATTATTGAAATTTTTTTGTAAGAGTGAGAAATATTGATATGAGTTCTTCATGTGTTTGTTAAAATCCAGCATGAAGCCATCATACCCTGATCTTGTTTTCAAAGGGAAACTTTATTACTGATTCAATCTCCTTATTCATTATTGATCTGTATGGATTTTATATTTTTTCATGATTCAGTCTTGGTAAATTATATGTGTCTAGGGATTTAACCATTTCTTCTAGGTTATCAAATTTCCTCTTTTTATAAGGATACCATTCCAGTTGGATTAGGGCTTCATTTTAACTTAATCACCCCTGTAAAGGCATCTCCAAATACAGACATATTCTGAGGTACTTAGGGCTAGGGTTTCAACATGAATGGGGTAAGGGCACAGTTCAGCCTCTAATACCATCTCAGATCTAGGGAGTTTGGGTGTTGCCAAGGCTGGAAGGCAGCTCAACCCCTGCGTCTCAGGTCTGCCCTCTGTCAATTCTCGCATCTCCTGCAATGCCCTTGTTCCCTTCTGGTCTTCTGTAGTAAGCCCATGTAGGCTCACCTGAGTTGTCCCTCATTGATGGCTACAAGGCTCCTTCAGTGCCACAATGGTCTGTTGAAGGTGCTGTGAGGTGGGCAGAGGACTTCCTTCACTTCTGTGTGCCCCCTCATGACCTCCGAGACATCATTCTACTCTGCCTGTGCTATGTGGGCACAGGGGAACTTGCTGAGGCTGTCTCACATTCATACTCCTGAGTCTCTCTACCTAACTGTCCTTCATCTTGGGCATGAGGCATAGGCTCACTCTCCTCCCCAGATCACATAACTCATCTGGGGTATTCATCACCCACCCCCACCTCAGGGCTTGCTGGGCGGGGGGCTACAGCAGTCAGGACACAAGGCCCCTTTCTCGAGCACGCACCACATCTAAGCTCTCATTACTTCCTCTCTCACAATGCTAAGCCCCATTCCCACCAAACAGGAAAATGTCTTTCTGTTCTTGGGGATGGAAGCTTTGCTTTATCTCATCAGGTATCTGCCCAAGCATATTGCCTATGCCTCAGTCCTTTCCATTCCCCTGAGTTGCCTAAATCTTTTGGAACTCAAAACCTACATTGTCTTTTTCCTCCCTACTTTCTGCCAAAAACCCCATCTCTTGAGGCAATAAACGCAAAATGGTTAATTGAGTGTGTAAGGGGAGGACTGGAGTAAAAAGAAATATGGCTGGAAAACATTGCAGTATTTCACAATCTTACCCTGTCATATTTAGTTGCTACTTTAACTAATGAAATTGCACTAGAAATGTGGTCTTGCAGGGGACCCTTCATCAGCAGAATAGATTCTTTCACTGTCTGCCCCATGGAGAAGTTGGAACTGGGCCAATCACATTCTGTTCCCTTTTTCCACGTGGGTAGACCAAGTGCTCTGCCACTAGCCAGAGTTGGGTGTCCTGTCTGTGACCACAGAAGACCAGATAACTGATGGCCAGGAATGCCAACTCCCTAAAGATAGTGTTCTGAATAACTGTTAATTGACTTGGTTTCATCTTTATGTTGTTAAAATGTCACAGTGACTCAGTACACTGAAATTTCCAACTGTACATTAGATAGCCCCGTGGTTGAAAATACAGTATTGCCATGTTTTCTGGACTACATAAGAAGCAACTTTCTTAAAAGTTGATAAATTTCTTACTGCATAGATTTGGCAAGGTTTTAGTATAGGTCAGCCATGGTTTTTTCTTCTATTTAATCAGGAGAAGTGAAAGTTTGATTGTCTTTCTTGTGTTTTTTTTTAACTACATCTATTTTTTTTTCTGAAGAGCAAAATACATAGATACTTGATATGAATATGAAAACACCCTTTTCCTAAAAGCAGAAGTATAGTCTATTTATGTAAAATAAGAGATTGTGAGAGTCATAAAATACCCATGTAGAAAAACCACAGATAAGCGGATGTGAAAGACCAAGCGAAATTGAGAATTTAGGATTTACAGTCACGAGTAAACTGAAATCATTACTTTCATTTTTGTGAAAGTTTAAGGCTTTTATTGTTAATTTTCCACATTGTACTTATAATTTTCATTTTTTCAGTAGCAATTTAAATTATTCTGAATTGTCAAGTTACTGTATGCTAAATTACAGATTCTCTTGTACTTTATAAATGTAAGGTATTATTTTTATTATTCTCAATGAAAGACCTACAGAGGAAATATTGAAAACTTGTACATTGCTGATTCACCCTGTTTACCTCCAAGATGAAAATTCTTGGTTATATCACAAAATCAACTTTACCATCCGGGGGTAGGAAAAAAAACGCCACCACTAACAACTTTTAATGTCCTTTTTCAAACACAGGTCCAGAATGTCTTAATTAGCCTTTAAACTTAAGTTAAATTTTGTCCATCTCAAATTAATTCTGTTTTTATAAAGTAATGTCTGTCTTTGTTTCTAATAAAAGTTTATGAGAGCAAGGTTCAAAAGTGATGTCTTTGAATTTTTTATATTTCAAAAGTAGGAAGTTCTAGGAGCTAATTTCAGTTAAATTAAGCCAACTATAGATCTGGCGGTAACTTTTAACTTGTTAATGTACTACATGAGTTTTTTGTTTTTGTTTTTATTTTTGTTTTTGTTTTTGTTTTGGCAGCTGGCTGGTGTGGGAATCCAAACCCTTGACCTTGGTGTTATCAACACTGTGCTCTAACCAACTGAGCTAACCAGCCAGCCCTTACATGAGTTTTTATAATAACAATATATGTATTTCTGAAATAAATTTTCAGGTTTTATAAAATTATTTATTTGCCTAACCCAGTTGGTTTAGATGGTTTTAGCAATCTCTGTTTTCTATTCCAAGAGGAGAATCAAAGTGGAAAATGGTTTTCCAATCAAATACTGTATATCCAATCCCATTAGTCCCTCAAAGTAAAAAAGACTTTGCAACATTGGCTACCTTAACCCCCCATGCCCCATCATTGCCATTAAACAACACAATATTCACCATTAAACATCCAACCCCCATTCTCCTTCTGTTTTGCTCCCAGGAACTTGATCACCCCGAATGGGTCTACAGCATCCCCTCCAATCTCACACAGGCACATGACTCATCCTGCCTTATTAGTCTTCTCTTGTAGTATGTATCCATTTTGCTATTGCATTATGATTACTATTGAACGTGCCTTCTCTTTTACTAGGAGATAAGCTCCTTTGCGGTATTAGCCAGGTCCTGCACATCTCCCAGAACAGTGCCCTAAGAATATAATAGGTATATGTACTGACAGAATAAATGAATGAATAAAAAAAAAGTAGTACTTTTTTTGTTTGTTTTGTTTTGGTGGCTGGCTGGTACAGGGGTCCAAACCCTTGATCTTGGTGTTATCAGCAACATGATCTAACCAATTGAGCTACCAGCCAGCTCTACATACTCTGTTAAGTAAAGCACATATACTATCAGTATACATTTGCAATTAAAATGCCAAGAGAAAAGTGAGTTATAAAAATTACACTGCAATGATAAACAAAAACATCTTTTAAACTATTTAAGAGGTTTCTTTTGTTCAAACTTGGATAATGTACATCCTTCTTAAGATGCTGCTTCCTCATTGGTTTATGACGAAATATGAGTGCAATATCCTGTTCCCTCAACAGTGTCGATTTCTCTTCTTGATGCCAGCAGATTTATCAGGCTCCTCAGTCAACAAAAGCGTCACCCCAAGAAACATGAGTAAGTATAAGATTAAAAAATGAAATGAGATTATTAAGTAGATATACTTTGGCATGACTGTCAGCAATGTTGGCAACATTTTCTCTGGTTTAGACTGTAAAAATGGAGAAACGCAAAGCATTAGGAGAGCGAGAAATGAGGAAGACACATGGTTTCCTCTACTTTGAGCAGCGGTAAAGGGATATCAAAACTTAAATTTAGAACCAGATAGGTAAAACTATAGATACACAAAAAGGAGGATGTTTGTACTCCATTTCCTCTTTAGGAAACAGTGTGTTGACAAATTGCGTTAAGTTGTTAGGAAGAAACCTGCCAGTTCCTGGCTGTAGAGCTATTTGGCACAGTTTTTTTATCAGTACAATGGTCTAATAATATTTTTATACAAATCAAAAAGAATGTGAAGTTAGAAAATCATATTTTTAGTATTAGTAGGTATCAATTAATTATTAGTTAATAAGTAAGTGACTATCACAGTGTCTGAAACATAGTAGAATCTTAGTAAAGTAGCTGTTAAACAGATAAATGAAAGCGACCATTCTATGTAACACTGTAGAAAAATATTTTACTTTTGGTCATTGTCATCGATGATTTGTACTACTTTGAGAGCTGTTTAAAAATAGATAAACTTTAATATACTCTAGATTGTCTCCTTTTTTGGCATTTGGTAAAAATGAAAATAAAAATTTAAAACTTATCCAAATTTCTCAGTGCTAGGTTTGGTAAGGGGCAACAATAATCAACCACAATGTATATCGACAAAATAAAATTTAAAAAATAAATAAATAAAAATGATTTTTTCAAAATTTGACTTAAGTGGCCAAAATAATATCTGAAAAGATGTGTGAATAATGGGAATTATGTATTCCATCAAAATCTCAGATCCACACAAATTAAATTAACAACTATCATCTGCAGAGCTTGGCATCATATGTAAAGTGTACATTGCACTCTGAGTGGCCTCTGGCTTCTTTGCCATGCTCTGGCTAGATGACCAAAGATGATCTTCCACGAAATGGAGGGGACAGCACAAAGGATGGCAGCAGATGACTGATGTCAGTAAAACAATAGTATCAGCTAACGTCTAGTGAAGCCTTACCATGTGCCTGGTACTTGCTCCACATGTCATCTCATTTAACCCTCACCACAACCCTATGAAGTGGGTACTAACTTACACATGTGAAAACTGGAACTTAGAGAGGTGAACAAACACATACTGTCACAGATTCCCAGAGGGCTGTTGACAAGCTTTCAAACTGTCTTCAGAGCTCACGCTTATAACCACAAGCCGGTATTGTTGCCCAGTAGAGAAGAGACCTAGTATCTGCTTCACCAGACTCTTCTGTCTTGTGGTTGTTGTAGTCAAGGCAGGAAATGATTTTACAGCTAGAGAAATTCATTCCGTTGACAACTTTATAAACCTTCCTAAAATCATTTTTTTCCATTTTATCCATCTCAATTTTTCTTAAGAGAAAAGATGCATATTTATTGAGTAACTTACACAAAGGAGGAAGAGGTCTCCACTGCCCATCTCCTGACTCTCTAGGTCCTGATCCTAAGGGAGGATATTTTCATGGCTCTGTTGTTCTCCCCAGAGGCTTGAGCACAGTGGGGGACGTGATGTTGGGCATGCAGCAGAGTCCCTTTCCCAGTAGCTTATTCAATCCTTCCTGCATCTCAGACTTTTTCAATTATATCCTTTAGTGAGGATTTTGGAGGTAAATTTTCTCAGTGGTACTTTATCTGAAAACATAATTTTTGCTGTCTTGAAATTTAGTTCTGTTGGGTTTACAATTATATAAGATAAGATATATATGTATGTGTGTGTGTGTATATATATATATATATCTCCAAACTTTTTTCTCAGTTTGGGAATATTAATCCCCCGTCTTCTTGTTCCTGTTACTCCTGTTGAGGAATCCTGTTTCAGTCTAAATTCTAACCTTTGTCTGAAATTTAGTTCTGTTGGGTTTACAATTATATAAGATAAGATATATATGTATGTGTGTGTGTGTGTATATATATATATATCTCCAAACTTTTTTCTCAGTTTGGGAATATTAATCCCCTGTCTTCTTGTTCCTGTTACTCCTGTTGAGGAATCCTGTTTCAGTCTAAATTCTAACCTTTGTTAGTTGTCCATATTTTTTCTCTGGCTCTTCTTTTCTTTAGTCTTTGGTGATCTGCAGTTTGATTGCAATGTTTGTAAATATAGATTTCCATTTTTGTTTGTTTTTAGCCCGACTTGGGATTTGCTAGCCTTTATAAATCTGGGATTCCGTGCCCTTCATCCCTTCTAGAAAGCTCTCAGCCATTATCTTTGCAAATATTCCCTCTTCCCTATTGTCTCTTTTCTATCTTTATGGAACTCTAATTATATATATGCCGAATTTTTACTGTACTCTGTGTGTCTCTTTGGTATTTTCTTTAACCCTCTAATAATAGTTTTATTTCTTTAGCTCTATCTTGAGATATACTCATTCTTTCTTCGGCTGGACCTAATCAGTTCGTTAGCCCCTGTGTTAATTATTTTTAATTTAAATGTTTATATTTTTATATCCAGAAAGTTTATTTCAATCTTTTTAATCTTTTGCTCATTACTTATGTGTTCAAATTCCTTCTTTTATTCCTTTAAACATATTAAACACTCTTGTGTTATGTGTCATTAATTTTATCTCTAAAGCTTTGGTGGATCTAGTTCTCTTTTTTTCATGTTTCTACTCAGTCTCACACATAACGGCTTATTTCTCTGTGTGTTTGTGTGTTTTAATGAGGTCGTATTTGTTAGAACTCTATCTGTGGGCTTCTCTAAGCCTTTACTGAGGAAACCTTCCTCAAGGGAGGATTTGCGTTTACTTCTTCCAGCTGGGTAGAATTTATTTATTTTTTCCTATAGTAAAACTTTATTTTTGGTGAATTTATTTCCATAATTATTTGAATTATTTACATTTTTTTGTCTTGTTTCCCTGAATTACTTTTTATACACGAGGAAAGAAGTAAAATCATATCATTTCCTAAGATGCTCCATCTGCAGGTAAAACAGGTTTTTGTTTGTGAGGATGTTTTTCAGACCATCTCACGCAGCCTTTTGATTTATCTTTTTTAACTTTTTAATTGCAAAACAATACACGTGCAGAAAAATGCACATATCCTAAGTATACAGCTTGATACATTTTCTTACAAACTAAGCATCCTTGTAGAACCAGCACCCGTACCAAGAAACAGAATGTTACCAAAATCTCAGAAGTCTCCCTTACCCCCTCTTCTAGCATAGGTAACCACTACCCTGACTCCTAACAGCGAAGATTAACTTTGCCTGGTTTTTATTAGGTAGTAGATATTCCTTTGTGCCTGTCTTTCTATCACTCAGCATTATGTTTGTGAGCTTCAGCCATGTGATTACATGTAGCAATAATTTGTTCATTTTCATTGACGCATAGACTTGAGTTGTGTTAATATACCACAATTTATTCATCTATTATATTGCCAATGGGCATTGTAGTTGGGGAATATTACAAATTGTGCTGCTATAAACATTCTAATTCTAGTGCACTCCTTTTGGTAAAAGCATTGTATGTGTTTATGTTTTCCATTTGCCTAGAAGTGGAATTGCTGAGTCATACAGTATGCATAAGTGCCAAACGGTTTTCCCACCAACAGTATATGAGTCCAGATGTTCTACGTTCTCACCAGCACTTGATATTTTCTGTCTTTTTTCATTTTATTTATTCTGGTGGGTGTGCAGTGGTATCTCCTGTGGTTTCAGTTCGTATTTCCTTAATGACTAATGAAGTGGAACATGCAGGTTGGCCTGAATTTTCCAGAACCAAACTAATGATGTAGACTCAGACCCTATTTCTAGGCGAGGACCTATGAAAGGCCGTGAATACTCGGGGAAGGATATTTTATTATAGTTTCTTACAGAAACAAAACTGAGGCAGGGAACTTGCCAGCTTTTCTCTGCAGTCTGCAAATGTCTGTGCAATTTATTTTGTTTATTTTCTAGTTTACCCTTTCCCTGAAGGCAGAGGCTCCCAGATCCCAACATATTTGGGATGGTCAAGGATCCCTTCCTACCTGCACAGACCCTAGCTTTATCCCTAGTTTCTCTGGTCCAGAGGACCTAGTCAGTTCCTCCAGATATGTACATGCCTCCAAAATACCGACAGTATGAATGCTCACTTACCTCCGTGATCTCAGCTCCCTCCTCTTTTTTCCATCACACTTTTTTTCCTTTCTGGAAAGTTCCCTATTGATTTAAAAGGCTGTTTTCCACATTTTATTTACACATTTAGGTATGATAAAACTAGACAATTTCTGGAGTTTTACTTCATTTTAAGAGTGACATATACTATGCACTTTGGATAGGGTTTGCTGTACTTGCGGAATCCTTGTGCCTCCTTGGCAGGTCTCTTTTGTGCTTAGGACTCATCAGCACTTGGAGGGGAGTGCTTCTGATGCTCTGCATAGGGTTCCGACAAAGCTTTCTGTGAAGGCTTCTGTGATGGTTTTGGAGGTAAACCATTGAAACCACCAATAGGCCTCATTAGCAAAGGGATATAGACAGAAATATTTCTCTATTCCAGTAAAAAGACAAGGATGGGTCCTCTACAGCTATGAGAATCTATGACATCATAGCTTCAAGAAAGAACTGACCTAATAAACAATCCTGTATAAAGGTGATAATTGATGATCCCAAGGTTTTACCCAGAATTGAGAACATTCTGTCCTCTCATTTATAAAAGTATAAGAAAGATACCCACAAAGGAAAAAAAGCATAAACAGAAGAGGTAAGCTTGTCTAATTAGGTATTGTTTCAACAAGCTGCCATATTTTAAAATTCTACAACCTCACTGTTTTTCTTATGAAAATATTTCCTTAGTTAATATGGTGATTTTTTAAAGTGTCTTATACCTAGATTGTATGTAAAACTAAAAATTTGAAATAGTTTAACCATACAGTATATCACATACCCAAAAGCATTTACTGATCACAAACAAATCATTGAATTCTCTATCTTTAGCTGCTAATAAAGTGTCTTATACCTAGATTGTATGTAAAACTAAAAATTTGAAATAGTTTAACCATACAGTATATCGCATACCCAAAAGCATTTACTGATCACAAACAAATCATTGAATTCTCTATCTTTAGCTGCTAAAATGGCTTTTCAACTTTGGTTTTGTGTCCTTAGGTCATGTCCAGTGAGAAATATAACTCCCTCTAATCTAGCATCCCTTAGGTAATTCTTATTTGAAATAGGTAATCTCAGCTTAATTTTATTTGCTAAAGTCGATTAGATAATTTTCCTATTTTAAACACCTTCACTGTAATTTAATGCAATTTTAATATCTTCAATAAATAAAGAGTTGTTTTAATATCATGATTATAATAAAATTATATATCTTTTAAACATCTAAACTATTTTGGTTCATCTTTCATTACAGAAATGAAGGGATCTTAAAAAGAGATGAAAATAAAGGTTTGTATGTTCACGTTTGCACCAATCTCCTGTGAGATTCATGAAGAAAAACGAGTTGGGAACAACACTCCATGGAGGCTAAGGAATTATCCCAATTGATCCTGGAGGGTTCTTTGTCAGTGTTCTGTGATAACGAACACATGGACCTCTGTTCATTAAATTTGGCTGATCACTTTAGTTAACTACCAGGAACCTGGATTCTGACTTCTAATCGTTGACATCTGCGTGAAAACTAACCTACATACATCCTTTAATAGCATTGATGAATTAATTAGAACTCAAGAAAACAAAGAAAAATTGAAAGCATTCTTACTAAAAGAGAATTCAATGTTGAAAGCAAACTACGGTAAGGCAAGACTTGCTTTTCTGTTTACCTTCTAAAGGCTCATGTAATTGCCACCTTAAAAAGAAAAAATGAATAGCACATGTATTGAAGAACAGCACGACTTGGACCACTATTTGTTTCCTATAGTTTACATCTTCGTGATTACAGTCAGCATTCCGGCCAATATTGGATCTCTATGTGTGTCTTTTCTGCAAGCAAAGAAGGAAAATGAACTAGGAATTTACCTCTTCAGTTTATCACTATCGGATTTGCTATATGCATTAACTCTTCCTCTATGGATTGATTATACTTGGAATAAAGATAACTGGACTTTCTCTCCTGCCTTGTGCAAATGGAGTGCTTTCTTCATGTACGTGAACTTTTACAGCAGTACAGCATTCCTCACCTGTATCGCTGTCGATAGATATTTAGCCGTCGTCTACCCTTTGAAGTTTCCTTTTCTACGAACAAGAAGATTTGCATTCATGGTCAGCCTATTCATCTGGGTACTGGAAATCATCTTTAATGCTGTCATTTTGTGGAAAGATGAAACAACTGTTGAATACTGTGATGCCAAAAAGTCTAATTTTACTTTATGTTATGATAGGTACCCTTTAGAGAAATGGCAAATCATCCTCAATGTGTTTAGGACGTGTACAGGCTATGCAATACCTTTGGTCATCATACTGATCTGCAACCAGAAAGTCTACCAAGCTGTGTGGCATAATCAAGCCACAGAAAACAGTGAAAAGAGGAGAATCATGAAACTACTTGCTAGTATCACACTGACTTTTGTCTTATGCTTTACACCCTTTCACGTGACGTTGCTGATTCGCTGCATTTTAGAGCATGATGTGAACTTTGATAATCACAAGTCTGGGAAGCAGACTTACACAATATACAGAATCACGGTCGCATTAACAAGCTTAAATTGTGTTGCTGATCCAATTCTGTACTGTTTTGTAACTGAAACAGGAAGATCTGATATGTGGAATATATTAAAATTCTGCATTGGGAAGCGTAATAAATCACAAAGACAAAGACAACGCATACTTTCTATGTCTACAAAAGATACTATGGAATTAGAGGTTTTGGAATAAAATAAAGGATTTTCTTGTTTGTTTAAGGTACATGGAATTATGTCATCAAGATTACATGTTGAAAAGGAAATCTAACATGGAGGGGACTAAATGTTCTGAGTGAACATTTTAATCCTGTTCAATGAAAATATTTTTAAAGTGCATTGTACAAGCTCCCTCCCTGACTTTTATTAGATAAGGCATATTAAATAAAGTTTAATATTTTCCTAATGACTCAGGGTTTAACTGTTAATGGCAATTGTTTTTATATACATACCATAATCCTTCAGAGTGTAAGGTGTGTAGGACTATTTATTAGTCTTTAAATCAGTGGCCTCTGTATCTGGTTTTTATGATTTTACTCACTCTTTAGATTTCAGGCTGTTGGCCATCAGTTCTCCCAACTTTATGTACCAGTCTCTAACAACCCAAAACACTAACTACTGCTTCTAATATTCTCATTCATTAATAAATAAGTTTTGTGTTAACTACTAGGGTTACAAAAGAAATTGTCTTATGAAGCCTCATGAAGTTTATATCAGTTCAGAAACCTGGTCACTGACTTTGTAAAATTTCTACATAAAGTAAAAGTAAACAGGCTGTAAGTTTCATTTTGATTTTTTAAAAATTTATACCTGAGTACAATATAATTGAAATTACCAGAAATTCAATGTCTAGAAAATAGATAGTTATATTAAATTTCACAGAGGCTTTTGTGGACTTAGAATATTTAGAGAGTCTTGATATATTCTTTTGAATCTTCATTGTGGAAATTAATCTGCCTAGTTTTAGGTAGGCACCGGGTAAACACTTTTTTTAACCAACATATCTGTTAAGATATTTTTTACCCTACTCTTCTCCTTTTCTTCTTTCTTTCCTTTTCTTTCTTTTCTCTTCTTTCTACTCCCCCAAAATGGTTGGATAGCAAATGCCTTGATACCATTTGGTGCCCTCACATTAGAAAACAAAATCCTGATAACAAGAAATAACCACTATCCTTTCAACAATAAATCTCTGGATAAACACTGAAAACTTAGTGATTGCACAAACTGACTACATTTTCCATTAAAGCCCTTCATAATGGTGTGTGTGTACACAGTAGAAAACAACCTTGCTTTGAGGCCATATGTACATTCTCTTTTCTTTGCATTTTTCTGGTCATAACGTTTTTAGAAAATTCTGCCTGGGTACTCTGAGACACACATATGCTTAAAGACTAAAGAGACAACCTTAAAATGGAAAGTATTTAAAATCATTTGAGCTATTTGATTAGTTATTGATAAATTATTGACAGCCTGTGAGTTGAGTACCATACTTGTAAAAGATCCAGAAACAATTTTGCATTACATCTGGAAACTTAGATACAAATTAAGTGTCTTACCCCAAATCACACAGTTGATTGAAAGCAGAGCCAGGCCTTGAACCCAAGAAACTTGACTTCCTTCTAGAATTGTTTTTCTCCCCTTTATGACTTTTTAAACATTTCTACCCTTTCTTTCTTTTTATTTATTTATTTTTTTTTGGCATCATAAGGACATATGCATGAAGAGCCGTTCAGTGTAGTCATTGGGTTTAACCTTTCTTTCTTTTTATTTTTTTATTTTTTTTTTTTTTGGCATCATAAGGACATATGCATGAAGAGCCGTTCAGTGTAGTCATTGGGTTTACAAGACATTCTATTTCTATTTGTTAATGTAATGATCAAATAAACAATTATTTACCAATTGTCTCTGTTGACCTTGTTAACTTGACTTATTTTTAATCAGACAGTACTAATTTTAAAATAGAATTTGTGGTACAGAGCATACAGGCATTTCTTTTCATGACAGTTTTATCTTGCCCTGTGCCTCTTTTAGCCTAATCATCACCGTTGTCATTCTGTCATCCAGGCATGGGGCACCTGTTCTTTTCTAGCTAACCCCATCTGTAGGTTGCTATGGAGACACAACAGCTACTATAACATTCTGATCCAGGAAGGCCTTTGTGATAATAGACTTCTTTGTCTAGGTCCATTGGGTGACCCTGCCATTGAATCAGAAGCCTTCCTCCAACAGACACAAACAACACATATTTATAGACATACACAAATAACTTGCCCCATCTTACAAAAACAAAAACCAAAAATCCCTGGGCCCTTTCAGTATGTGCTTCTACTGTTTTGCAAGGTGTCTAATACCAACTAGTAGAACACATATTACCTCCTTAACTTGTGAAATAAAGCACATCTGGGTGTTTTCATTTTCTTGTTTACTAAATAAGCAGCCACGGGGACATTCTTAAGATTCCCCCTCTGTGTTCCTTCTTCCTTCCTTCACCTCCAACCAGAAGTGGCTACCAAGGGAGCTACGGTAAGAAAACTTCTATCTGCATTGTTTCATTACTGTGCTGGTTCTGAGAAAATACGGTTCTGACTGAGATGTCTTATTTACATCTACTGTGTAGACACCTTTGGGGGGAAATAGTAGAAATTTAATTTAAAAGAAAGCAGGGTGTGTTTTAAAGTTATTCTTTGTACATGGTATAATACCTGATTCAATTCAAGTAAAAAAAATTTTTTTGACCACTATTATCTCTTTATTCTTTGCCATTTCAAACAGCTTAAAGATGGAACACAGTATGATTAGCTTTGTGATATTAGTTACGTTAGTTGAATGCACCCAGTTTAAAGGAATATGCTGAAAGAGCAAAAGTGGGTCAAGTTTGGGTGAGGTGGAAGTGATGTGATGTAGGACTTACGGTTCCTCCTTTCCTCTCCAAAGATCCCATTCTTACTATATAGCTTGTTGCTGGCCAAGAGCACCCGTGCAAGGGTCCTGTTTGTGGCCACTAGGTGTCGATCATGTTCTATCAGGCAACCCTGTTTCTTGTTCATTGCTAGCCAATAAAGCCAAGATGACATTTTCTTATCCAAGAAACAAGAAAATCCCCCCCAAAACTGGAAACAAGCGGGGGGAAATGCTGACATTCCCTTTGCACCATTTATTTCCCTGCTCTCTGCAAAGCTCAGCATCAGATAATTTCACTTGGTTTAAGCCTCATATGTCATTCCAGTAATTTTTTTTACAGTTGGTTAAAACTTGGTCAGTCCAGATGTGAGAGAACATAGGTTAAATTGTGTAATTTCTGCAGGATTGTGCATATAGCAGTGGAGATTTTTTCTTTATGTAGTTATCTTACCCACTTAATACTAGCCACCTCTCCTATAAATAGGAACATAAAACGATCCATAAGCAATTTGTATTTTTGTCTACTATTATGACATTATTATCTATGAAAGTTGAGATGCAATTCAACATATGTATAATTTTTAATTTCTAATTTATTATGGTTAGATCTCAGTACTAAAACAATCACATCTGTTATTTTGAATTGTTTGAATCTGTTCTCCTCCAAAGAAGAATAATACAATCATGCTCTAATTTAACAGCATTTGCATATCATTAAATACATAATGGCCTGTAATTTACTTTTGTTTGGCCTATAATTTTCTGAAGCCCTTTATGAAGCACATTTAAAAAATAGGTTATGATTCCTCAAATAATGTTACAATTAGATGTTCAAAAGCAAGTCATGTATATAGCCAACAGAGGAATGAGCCAGAGAAGTCTCCATATTATCATTCTGTGTGAGCGCTACAATAAAGTATAAATTTTGTTATCTAGGAAATGTGTGCTCATTTAATAGAAAATTCAGTACAGTCAAGAAACCTTAATCTATAACGACTTGACTTGCCAATACTATGAAAAATACTAACTTTAGTGCTCCATATTATCATTCTGTGTGAGCGCTACAATAAAGTATAAATTTTGTTATCTAGGAAATGTGTGCTCATTTAATAGAAAATTCAGTACAATCAAGAAACCTTAATCTATAACGACTTGACTTGCCAATACTATGAAAAATACTAACTTTAGTTCTCAGGATTTCATTGAAATTCTTGGATTAACTTCTAAAAGAATCCTTTTCAGAATCACCCTAAAATTTCTGGTATTGCCATTAAGACTATTGACACTGACATATGATTTAACTTGGAAACCTTGATTGGAAATTTGGAAACAACTCTTGCTCTGACCCAGGAAGGGACTATTCTTAAGGATGTTCTTACTAGTAATCATAATTGTTTGTTGAGTAAATAATAAGTTAATTAATGGAATGAACTAAGAATGGTTCAATTTCACACTTTGTCATAACTCCGGGGTTCAGTTTATAAAATCCTTAGGGCTATTTGTATTTTTAGTTCAAAAACTTTAAGATTATATGGCAAAACAAGGTTAAGGAGAAAAATTTTCCCTTTAGAAAAGCCTTTATTAATATTTTTTACATTTGCTAAAGTAAAACAGTAGAAACAGACATTATCAATGACATTTTATTCACCTTAAACAGTTGGTAACAGGAATTGTCATGTTGATTTCCAACTACCATTTCTTACTCATGAGAATTGTTTATTGGATGTTCCTTCCCTACATTTTTTAGTAAGATGTTCATAAATTGGCTTAATTTTGTTATAGACTACACAATGGCATGGATCTCTGTTCACAGAGTCAGTTCAAAAAATATTGCTTCATTTTCTTTGCCAACTTAATTATGATTCCCAGACCACATACCAATAAGCTACAGGAAATTTCATCTTAGTCATTACTAGGTTGTCTTCTTCTTTTGGGTTCACACCAGAGTAAGGGAAGTTTACATGATGCAAGAAAATGGAGGAGAGGCTTTTGATTGACAATCTCTAACAGTCACCAGTGACAGTGATCTTGCCTAAGCTTGCAGGGGTCCCTTGAATCCCAGTGGATCTTTGCTGCCTCCCTGAATATCCTGGGGCAAAGTGCTCATTGGCAAGACTGGGTAGGAGCCTAGCTAATGACCCAGACTCCTGTACATCAGGTAGACATTCCTTCAAAATGTCGTCATATCTTCAGGATGCTGCCTCTTTTGGGGAATGCCTAACTCCAGATCCATGTGGTTCTTGTCTTCAGGAACAGAGCATGTAACACCTAAATTAAGCCAGTTAAAGTAGTCTAAGCCCCTGGCCACCTGATTGCTTCAGTGGTGGGCATGTGACCTAACCTGCTTAGATGCTGGCTCTTTCTTTTGCTCTGGGATGTGATATGCAAATGAGATGCCTGGGATCTTTGTGGCCGTTTCGTTATCATAAAGTAGCAACACATGGGAAGAAGGGAGAGCACAAGAAATCACAGGTCACTGGAGCTGGATCCTAATGATACGGTGAGTCT